TCACGAAGTGAATTGGCTTGTTTTACAACGTCTTTGCCAAGCGACGAAAACCCAATCCCGATGGCAAACACCGGGGGGGGCGGCTTCTTTGACAACGTCGTTGCCAAGCGACGAAAACCCAACCCCGATGGCAAACACCGGAAGGAGGCAGCATCTATGGGGGAGATGAATGTCAAGCGTCCCGCGATTCCTCCCGTCATCAAGCTCAACCGCGTCTAACTCTGACCGCGCCGTGTCGGCAGGGCTCACAGCTATTTTTCAAGCCATCATGCACCCCAATCGAACCGGTGGGTGCAGAGAAACGCCCACCCGCGGGGGCTCAGCGGCTCGACGGCCGGTGGAGCAGTCAAGCTTAACTGCTCCACCAGGTCGAACGCTATCTACAGGGCACTGTTTGTCTCACAATGACTTGCATTGTGGTGGCATGGCCCACAGCTATTATTCCAGCCATCGTGCACCCCGATCGGACGAGTGGATGCAGAGAAAGTTCCACCCACGGGGGCTCAGTGGCTCAAGGGCCGGTGGAGAATATAAGTTTAACTGCTCCATCAGGCCAAACTCTATCTACTTCTGGGCACTGTTTGTCTGGTGAAGACTTTCATTGTGTTGACACGGCTCACAGCTATCGTACATGCCATCGGGCACCCCAATGGGACAAGTGGGTACAGAGAAACAGGCCTCAGTGCCTCAAGGGCCGGTGGAGCAGGTAAGCTTAACTGCTCCACCAGACCAAACTCTATCTACCGGGTGCTGTTTGTCTGGTGAAGACTTTCATTGTGTTGGCATGGCTCACAGCTATCATACAAGCCATCGGGTACCCCGATCAGACAAGTGGGTCCAGAGAAACACCCATCCAAGGGGGCTCACCGGCTTCAGGGCCCGGTGGGGCAGTTTGGCTTATCTGCTCCACCAGGCCAAACTCTATCTACTTCCGGGCACTGTTTGTCTGGTGAAGACTTCCATTGTGTTGACACTGCTCACAGCTATCGTACATGCCATCGGGCACCCCAATGGGACGAGTGGGTACAGAGAAACGGGGCTCAGTGGCTCAAGGGCCTGGTGGAGCAGATAATCTTATCTGCTCCCCCAGGCCGAACTCTATCTTTAGGGCGCTGTTTGCCTTACGAAGACTTGTGGCAGGATAGGGGCAGCCCCTGGGCACGGATACATTTTCTCAAATGGGCACCCGCGGGCACTCCCCCCCCAACAACGAGCACCCCACCCCCCAATAACGGCCCCCGCCTAGTGGTTCGGGGCACTCCCCCTCAACAATATCGACACTCCACGTTAACAACGGGCACCCCACCTCCATTGTGGGCACTCCTCTCTGCTTACGGGCGCCTCTTGGCGCGGTGTTTGGACAATGCAGTGCTCTACTGAATATGGTGTAGTACACTTGTATCTCCTAAACAGATGCCCTGACAGTGTATGTCATCAGGTAATACATGCAGCTTTTTTTTGTTGATCAGGTACGCAAACACTGTATCCCTGAGCATATTCGCTGTATTCCCTTATCGGATGGTACACCGTATTCCGTCTGCTTTTCACTGTATTCCCTCATCAGATGCGCCGCATTCATTCGTTCGACTGTACTCCCTAACTTGAAATAGGCTGCAGATGCTCGTCCGCATCACTCCGTATTCCCTTCTCAGATTTCTCAGATTCCACCCACACCGTAACCGTTGTACTGTTCAATCTGTATTGTCTCATCAGAGTTTCTGTATTCCTGCGTCAGATACGCTTTACATGCTGGAATACAGTGAATCTGGCGAGGGAATGTCGTGGTTCTGATTTGGGAATCCAGTGAATTGGACGAGGGAATCCAGCGTATCTGATTACGGAATGCAGTGAATCCGATCAGGGAACACAGCGTATCTGACCAGGCGATACGGTGTATCTAAAAAGTTAATACAGCGTTTTTGATGAGGGAATACAGCGTATCTGATCCGGGAAAAGGATGAATCTGACCAGAGGATAGAGTGAATCTGACGAGGGAATGGCTCCAACCGGTGAAACAGATATAAATTTTTGCTCCACCGGGCCCTTGAGCCACTGAGCCCCGTTTCTCTGTACCCACTCGTCCCATTGGGGTGCCCGATGGCATGTACGATAGCTGCGAGCCGTGTCAACACAATGGAAGTCTTCACCAGACAAACAGTGCCCGGAAATAGATAGAGTTTGGCCTGGTGGAGCAGATAAGCCAAACTGCCCCACCGGGCCCTTAAGCTGGTGAGCCCCCTTGGATGGGCGTTTCTCTGCATCCACTTGTCTGATCGGGGTACCCGATGGCTTGTATGATAGCTGTGAGCCATGCCAACATAATGAAAGTCTTCACCAGACAAACAGCACCCGGTAGATAGAGTTTGGTCTGGTGGAGATGTTAAGCTTACCTGCTCCACCGGCCCTTGAGCCACTGAGCCCCCGCCGGTGTTCATCCATTGGTCCGATCGGGGTGTCCCATGGCTCGTACGATAGCCGTGGGCCGTGCCACCACAACTCAAGCTCTGGTAGGGCAAACGGCACCTTTTGCATAGAGTTTGGCCTGATGGAGCAGTTAAACTTATATTCTCCAACGGCCCTTGAGCCACTGAGCCCCCGTGGGTGGAACTTTCTCTGCATCCACTCGTCCGATCGGGTGCACAATGGCTGGAATAATAGCTGTGGGCCGTGCCAGCACAATGCAAGTCATTGTGAGACAAACAGCGCCCTGTAGATAGCGTTCGACCTGGTGGAGCAGTTAAGCTTGACTGCTCCACCGGCCGTCGAGCCGCTGAGCCCCCGCGGGTGGGCGTTTCTCTACACCCACCGGTTCGATTGGGGTTCATGATGACTTGAAAAATAGCTGTGAGCCTTGCCGACACGGCGCGGTCAGAGTTAGACGCGGTTCAGCTTGATGACGGGAGGTATAGCGGGACACTTGACATTTATCCCCCCCATAGATGCTGCGGAACCCCCTCTGTTGACCATATCTCTGCGGGAACATATCGGATGGGCGTGTCCGATAGCTTGGAAGAACGGCATGGACCGCGCGGACACGGTGCAAAAGCATTGAAGCCAGATGGAGCTGCGTGGACGGAGGTTCGAGACGAATACTGCTTCCTGACATGCTGCGAAACCCCCCTATTCAGCATCTCTCTGCAGCCACGGATCGTACTTAGCTTCCAGGTAGCATTGCAGATAGCTGTAGTCGATACCTACACGATGCAATTGGTTGGAGGTCGATTGGAGCTCGGTGGGTGGAGATCTGCCTGGTAGAGCAACACGAGGTTACTCCACCGGTGGACCAAAGAGCATTGCCGATTTCACGACGCTGCTTCGGTACCCAAGGTACATACGCACAACGCGCCCGTAGAAACACCCATTCGGGGCGCCATTGGATTCGCGTACGTTCACGACGTACCTGGTGCAAGCCGTGCTGGCTTGAACGATAGCGATGTGTCTTCCCGGTCACGCAGGAGTTTTTCCACCGCTTGTTGTCAGGCAACTGTCAAGAAACTAATCAGTTTCCTCCACGAACGTGCTATGAGTTCACCACACGTGCGTCCACTCGAATTAGCTGATGGTTCTCATATCTGTGTTGGTACTCACACACTCATCATCCTCTCACCTCTGCGCACCCCCCGTCCCACCCCACGGTTCGCCCCCTCAGTTGATAACATTGGGTTTCCACGAGGAGTTCGTCCATGGGGCCACGTCTTGCGTAGGCTTCAACCTGGACGCCCTGCCATCGTTATGTTTCGAGCAGGAGCTACTCTAGCGGAACATAACAGACCGCCGCCGCAGCCAGGCCAACGGGCGTTCATATTTTCGCACCACCGCCTGTTTCCTGGAATGATGTATTGCTCGCTACAGTACCGTGACTTTTTTTGGGCCACGGGGCTGGCGGACCTTCGCTCTCTGTCTACCATTTTGTATTCGGACGAGTGTTTTGGACGCACACCTTGTGGACAGGCTTCAAGACCGCAACGTGCTGGCCTCAAAGCGGCCGCCGATACCGAGCGGTAGTAGTTTATGAGGCTCTCCTCGACGTGGTTTCGAGTGAGATGGGCATGAAAACCATCGTGCCTGGAAAACCTGCAACGCCTTTCGAATAAGTCGAGGGATAGTCACGCTTCAAAACTGGGAGACCTGGTTGGTGTAGAGGCCCGGAACTGTGACTCAGGCTCAACTCGGCTCGTGAGGGCTCGCCGCGGCGCCTCACAGCGCAACGGGGGCGTTGGGCCAACTCTGAAATCGAGACGGGTCTTTTTCGAGCCCGGCTAGGACGCCGTTCGGCCTCCACCTTCACGGTGTCCACGGGTCGCCCTCTCTCGGCACGACACCGCCGCCGCGGACTCGTGGTGTAAAACGCCGGGCGAGCCGCCCGCGCCGTGCAAAGCGCAGCACACTCGGTTGCTCGCAC